CTCTAAATTTATTTCACAATATATTTCACATGATCCTTCAGAAAACATTCTAATATGTTGATTTGCTGCTCAAGTGACATTTCTTATTATCAATGTGCTGCTTAATGTTTTTGTGGTAACCTGTACCTGCAGAAAAAATCCTTATTTTTGGAGCTCTGGCAGAAATTAATTTTTTTAGTGCACTGCTTAATTAACATACTTAGGAAACCCAAAGGATACTCCATCTTTTCACTGATGGGCTTGTTCTGCAGTAGCTCAGGGATGTAAACCCGCTGTGACATCACTAAAACTGTGCCATGTGGTTATTTCACATCCCTCATGACTCAACTGACGGAAGATGCGGGAGCTCTAAGCAAATGTATGAGTGTGCAGAACTACATGACAGAGCAGGAAGTCTTATGTGGCAGAGGAGGACATGTCTGAGCAATCATGCAGAAGGCCCTGTGTCCATCCTGTCACACTAGAGAGGGAAGATCACATTTAAATAAGTGTTAATGAACCGATGGTGCAAGTAAACCGTCATTGTGGTGTTTAAAGGATAATGTGATTTTTAGCATCTATTGTGCCCCTGTACCCTTTGGTACATCGGGGACTGGTTGTATGAGTAATAAGATTAGGAAAAGGCCTATAGGTAAATTTAATTTATACAATAACTCCATAGGGAAAGCATGCTTGCAGTAAAAATGTTTCCTTGCATAATAGAGAGTTTGACCTGTGGCCGAGACAGCATCCTACTGCAGTTGCAAAATACCCCAAAATGCAAATGTGCTACACTGAACTATTTGTATCATACTGTAGTGAACTACCCTTTTAGTGCATAAATTGTAGTATTACTACAGTAATGTCTGCAAATGTATGTAACAGAGAATACAACATGGCAACACACTTTCCTAAATGCTTGTACAGTAGAGTGGCTTTTTGTCTCAAGGGATCCTTGCTCTCATCCTTTATTCACCAAGGAATACTCAGAAAGCCTGAAAAAGGTGTTACAGCCTTGATGAAAAATATTGTGGGACATTATTGAAGCCAGAGACTATATCACTTTACTTTGCCATCCCTGATTACATAGTTATTTGGTCTGCTCTGATTGGATATTTTGTCAAAATTTTAGTACTTTTGCACCCTGCTGGCCTAGATAGAGCAGCATTAAATTACTGGCAGAAGCATATATAGAAGCATAGAAGCATACAGTGTCCTGAACACAACTGCCAAGAGATTTCCTGTCAATAAAGAGACCTTTGGATCTTAAGCGTTTTCTCCCATCCCATTCTATATTTCTTTCATTCCTTTTCCCCTGCGGTTTTCCATTTCTCCTGACTCTCAAGTCTTTTATGGCTGGTCTCTCTCTCATTTTGTCCTTATATACTGTGGACAATTGTTTGAGGCAACCTGACCTTGACCCACCAGCATCTGCCATTCATCCTGTCAGAAAGTCCCTCTGAGGCAAAACACACAGGGAGACAAAAGCATACACCTCTTCAGCCGGGATTGTGTGGCCTATGTCTTGTGATATGTGCACTACTGATATGACTGATAATATCAGGTTTCAAATGCAAGAAGAATGAAAAAATTAAAGGCAAAATAAGAGGATACTGACTGATTAATTCAATTACATCTGACAAGGCTAATGAGAACTTGGTCTCTTAAGGACTCATTTGCCATGAAAACGTGTACAGTAGATATGTACAATTCTGCAATGCACTGATATTGTTCTTGACCAAAGGCATGGAGAAAGCTCATCCTGATTGTGTTTGCTTTTAAAAATCTTTCCTCAGTAAGTCTTATGACAGTGTTTTAATCAGTTTTGCTGATATCATGCTGGTTTTGAAGATAAGATGCAAAGTTAAGGAACAGCTTTTCTACATTTCATTTTTGTGTTTGCTTCAAGGCTACTAAGCCGAATGTGTTACATAAAATTCCGGGCATTGAATAACTTTTTTTTCACGATACACAAGATTAGCTAACTGTAAGTCTCAGACATTGAACACTAACTGACAGTGTTTTCCTCTCTCACATCCTTGATATTTGTGTGTCAACCATGATAAGGCCAGGTGTGCACAGTGGATGCATAATTGAGACACATAGAGATGCGATAACAAGCTTTTCCAATTATCATCTGATACAAGCTGTTCCTTAACTTTGCATCTCATTAAAGCAAGACTGCTAGAACATTCTTCTGGATTTTTTTCTCTCTTCTCCTCTCTCGCAGTCGTCTGTTCCTGTAAATTAGTGATTCTGGTGTCCATAAAAAAATTAGCCACATGTCTGGGCTGTTAGTGTTGAGGGCAGTAGAGAATTGCAATGTTAAATGCAAATAAAGAAATGCTATTATACTGTATCATCATGCTTGCTTAGTACAGGAAAATAAGAGGAGAAAACACTATTCATATAATTTGTCAAAGACTATACACCCAGTTGAACTCTACGGTATTTAATTTTGGAGGAAATTCATCTGTCACATGGTTGAAGCTAGCCAAATTAGCCAGATGGCAACACGGACAGGTTGCGTGACATCCTTGAAAACCACAAACGAGACTATGCAATGTGTTTTGTGCTGTGAATGAAAGGCTTTTGAAAGCATGAAACAATCAAAATTCAATTTACATGTAGAGTAGACCAGTGGTTCTCAGTTCCAGTCCTGGAGACTCACCACTCTTCACATTCTGTATGTCTTCCTTTTTTAATGCACCCGATTTAGATCATCAACTCATTAGGAGAGAGTTTCATGAACTGAACCAAAGCCGCATTTACACTGCATGTGTCACGTTGCACACACACTAGGAACGAGGAGACGCTGGAGAATACTTTACCAAGACTTTATTTGCACCAAGGAACCAAGGGAGACGTACACACGAAGACGTTCACAGAAAGACGTACACAGGGGACCGAGAACTTGGGACTGGGAACACATTTTATACACACACACAGGAGGAGGGGATGACGAGACACACTGCCACATTAACGTCCTTCGGGCTCGCCACATTAACTGCCGGTTGACTCGACCCGGGAACGGCCGGCGGAGGGGTTCTGGATCGGGGACTCTCCAGACACCGGATGACTGTATCCTTCCAGCCGAGGTTGGTGGTGTCTGGGAGCTCCGTGGGATGGTGGAACGTCATCCCGATCCGGAACAGCGTCGCGAGGGTTTCCCCCTCGAGGGAGCTGGCGAGGGCGAGCGGCACAAACGCCCTCGCGAAGACGACGGGGTCTGGGCTCGCTTGAGCCACTGATATAAACATTAAACGCTCCTCCATATGGGGACGTGGAGGAGCGCACGGGAAAAAAAAGGGGCAAAACAAAAACTTACAAAAACCGGAAATCAAACACGGGGAAGGGATGCCGCTTACTGTTCGGTCCGCTGTTCTGTCACGTTGCACACACACTAGGAACGAGGAGACGCTGGAGAATACTTTACCAAGACTTTATTTGCACCAAGGAACTAAGGGAGACGTACACACGAAGACGTTCACAGAAAGACATACACAGGGGACCGAGAACTTGGGACTGGGAACACATTTTATACACACACACAGGAGGAGGGGATGACGAGACAATAGAAAACCCCAAATCTTTTACTGTTGGCTTTCAAATGAATTGCAGCCTTTCCAACAAAACCCCTGCTGTATCTGAAACTGCAGTTACAATTTGGATGCAATTTAGTATCACAGTGCTGCCACTCATTCACCCTTTATTGTTTTCCTCAGGCACGGCTGCAGACGTATGATCTCACCACCTCTGTGCTTGGGGAGCAGGACACACACAAAACATGGAACAGAGTCTGACAGCATGGTTCAAGAGATCCAATTCAGATTTTTTTTTTCCTCCCATGTGGCACAGATCGGATATGGCCTATGAACGTGTAAGCAGGAAAAAAGCACATGGATTCTGATATTCTCAGATCGGTTTCAGGCCTCATTCATATGTGGAAATAAATCTGATATGAATCTGATACGTGCATTTGCGCCTGCTGTGTAAACAGACAGATATTCCCATCGGATATTCCCCTGTTAATGTGAGTTGGATGTCATATATTTTTTAAACATTTAGCGGCACAGATATACCTATTACAAATAAAACATCTCTAGTTGACTAGCAGAGTATTAATTCGGTTCGTTTGTGTTAAATAAGAGGCAATCCGGCACTGAAATGTGCTTTTAAAGTCATGCTGAGTGCTCGTTGCTAGTTATCAGTGATGGCGGCTCGTGCACAGACGAGCACTTCAATCTATTGCTAACTGTTGTGGAGGCTCTCTATTAAAAATGCACAAAACTTGTCCCTGCTCTTGATATACAATCACTGATGAACACATTTGGTTTTAATGAGGAAAAAAACTATACGAGGCAGGATTAGAACTCAGACCCACTAACTTAGCACAAGTTCTAACGCTAGACCATTAGTACCCACGAATGTGTACAGCGGATCTGTGTATATAATTACTGCTGTGAAGAATCAGTACTAATTAATTATTTTGATGTAAGGATGAAACTAGCCTATCGCATTAAAAATGTTTCTATGAGTACTTTCAATAAGTTAAACTCTTTGCGTTCATGTTCTGGACTCTGCTTTTCTATACAAAGTATGCTTTGTTAATAATGTGTGCAGAGTTTGGGCTTTTAATATCACTGTCTAATGCATTGAACCACGTCAAGTTAGGACTGTGTAGTGTAAATGCAGATATCGGATACGGGTCACTTTTAAAAGAAGGTGTAAAAAAACAACAACGAAAAAAACAACGATATAGTCAAAAAATCAGATTTGGGCATCCAGATCTGCAGTGTAAATGCAGCCCAAATGTGTCACATAAGAGAGACATACAAAATGTGCAGAGCACTGAGTCCCCAGGGCCGAAGTTGAGAACCACTGTAGTGTAGTAAATCTAATATGAAAAAAAGTAAATTTTCTTATTCAGTCTGGATCATGTAAATAATGCATGTTGCTAAGCATTTGGAGTTTCTAACAGTTTATTAACATTTTGTTATATAGCATGTTTTGAAAATTACCTGTGTTATAGTGCTTGGTGCAGTATCTTAAATCAGTCTCCTCCTTGAGGATGAACTGTGGAAGCGTCAAACCTTCGGCCACCTGTACAGGTTCCATCTCTTGCCACTCAAAGATCAGGTCGTTCATTGTGTAGCCAACTAGTAGAAAGACAAAGAGAATTGTTTTAGATTTTACATGCTGTTTTCAGTATTGCTGTTTCATAACGGAGAGGTTAATGTTGTAAAATTAGCCCTTTCCATATTCTCAAAATATTCCAACAGCTTGCACTTTCATACAAGGAATCTTTTACCCACATATTCTGTCATTAATTGCTTACATTCAGTGTCATTCCAAACTTGTATGCGCTGTATATTTAATCTCAATAAATATTCATTTTGTGTTCTGTAAACAACATGGGTATGAATAAATAATGACTACATTTTTGGGTGAACTATTCCTTTAGCGGCCTTATGTCTCACATGGGACAAAGATGACTAAGTAAGTACTTATTCCTTTGGCTAAACTATTCTGATTCTTTCATTTAAGATCTAAGGTCTATTTTAAGATAAAAATGCAGATTTCAGTAGAATGATAGCATTCGAGGTTAAATGAGAGGGCTGTTCCAGAAGGCTAGAAAATTACAAAACCATTTACTACATTTCAGATAGATATTAGCAGTAGCTTCAGCAGCATCTAATGAACAGTAACTTCAGCTTCAGCTTGACAGTTTAGACTCTAAGGCACTGGTGTGATTTTTTTAATACACATACAGTATATGTAAAAAGAAACCAGCTTATTGTTTTTTTTTTCTTCTTTTTTTTCTCCAATGTTGACTTTGATATTAAAGTAAACTATAACCATACAGCCATAAAGCATGCTAACTGCAGTGCATAATAAAACGGCACACAGCTTCAACATGAAAACAAATCATATGACAAAGCATTAAGCAGTTCACCAGCACAATATCCTCAGGGCTGCAACTGCACCGGAAAATCTATGGTGTGATGTTGAAGTGGCGGATATAATTATCTCTGTTACTTCATATAGCTCTGGTGTCACTTGCTTCTCTTGGTGGTATCACTTTACCAGAGGGAAGAAGGTGAGTATGCTCATTATTCTATTCTATTCTATTCTATTCTATTCTACTGAATGAGCTATTTCCAAGAGAGACAATATCCTCAGTTTAACATTGCTGTCTGTCATCAAGAGCCTCTCAGTGAGCAACTCTAGTGACGACATGCACATGGCCACTCTAAAATATGTAGTTATGAAGACAGATTCCCCAGCACACGGGGAACGGCCCCAGCACACGGCCTTTCTTTACAAGCCTCAACCCCAGCTTAGAGCAATAGTCATGGGGGAGATCGAGTGAGCTGTGGCATGTTTTCAAGTTGACTGAAAACTCTTAGAAAAATATACCGAACACTTTGACCACTAGCTTCACTAATCTTTAACCAGGCACTTGGCACTTAATCTGTAGAGAGAATTTCTTGCTTATGTGTCCTTAAGTTACTGTCTAGGATGGTATATACCTTCTCCATGATGATTTTAAGGATGTCTTCAGGGCCCTTCCCATCCATAATGACATAATTTGGTGCCAAACACGCTTTACATCAAATCCGCTATTTACCTCATCCTGCCTACCGGCTGAAGTTACATTATGAAATGAGAAACAGTGTCTGTTTTCCACACAAATCTGAACGAGGGGTGGGGGGAGTTACTCAACAAGCTCTTGATGAGAAGAGGTCATACGAGATTACTTACAACTCTCCAGCTGCATTATGCACGTCTGCACATCCATGGGGAAATTCTTCAGATCCATCGGACATGAGAGTGTCAGAGTCAGTCTAAAAATTGAGTGGAAAAAAAGCATAGATTTTTAAAATGATACACACACCTCTTTAATATGTGCTTTTCCAAGTATAAAACATGGTAATTTTTATGCACAAAAATTGTAAATGGAATTCCATCTACATTCTCTGAATGAGTAATGTGTAAATCCACAACTCAGACAAAGAAGGGATTTAAAGTGAAGGGATTTGAGCATCTGAAGCTGCATGAGTGGTGGGATTTCTGAACGAGACCAATAAAGCAAAGACAAGTCTGACAGCTGCAGATTGGCCATGTTTTAATTACACTCCTTCTCCCTCAGGGCACCACGTGGATTTCAGTTAGAGTGAATCCTCTGTCGTCTCACACCTGCACAGCATTCCATCATATCTCCTCAAAAGCCTGACATAATTTACCCCTCACTATTAACTCCAGCACTTCTCTTCTACCATCATGCTGCTTCCTATGGATTCACTGCAGTGATTGATGTGGAATGACATTGTGTTTGTCCTTGCATTTGTTGAGGGGTTAGTTACATTTTAGAGTTCGAAGGAATGACTCAAATGACTCAAGTCTGCATCAGGTGAGGCGTTTGATTACTGGGATGGTGGATTGTTATTGACATTTTCCTGCTGCGGAATTTAAGCACATGTCTCTTTCTCAAGAAATGACCTCCGCTTTGTCTTGATTTGTTATTTACATCAT